TGAGTTTTATGGACATTTATTCACTCATAACTTCGAGTCAAGATATTTACTATAAATGTAATTCTATTTTTTCTTAATAAATTGAATGTTTTATTTTCAGTCTGATGTAGATTGTGAATTCTTTAAAAAAAGAGAAAAGATCTCTACAGCTTCCTTGTAACTCATCTTTTTTCCTTTGGTAAGTATTTTGTTTTTTCATCTTTTTAAAAAAAAAAACTCACCTCTTTTTCTTTGGTAAGTACTTTGTTTTTAGAAATTCTAAGAGTTGCTTTTATTTTTAACAGAGTATTAATTTATTTTCCCAGCTAGTTGTAGTAAAGCAGAGCCTTGTAACATTAAATAGTGAATATTTCAAGTATAGTTCTTAGAATAATTTTAAGGTGTGACTCAGTGGTTTGATTCTCACTTAATACTGGTTCAGTCATCTTATGAACTTTAAAAGAATTTTCTCCATAATCACATACATTTGCAGGTGTGTGTGTGTGTGTGTGTGTGTGTGTGTGTGTGTGTGTGTGAGAGATGTGCCCCCATCTCCAAGTCAGTTTTCAGGTTTTGGTGCCTCTCTTGACAACTCGTGCTTCGCCTGTATTCCCTTTGTCCCAAGGCAGACTTTGGGGGGCTGTGCTACCCTCCTCTCTTAGGGGTGGCTCTCCAGAGCCAGACCTACAGGGAACCCACTACTCCCTTGGGGACTGCCGGACCTCTGTGCTTGCCAGAGTCAGAGGGGTTGTAGGAGAAGTCTGCAGTGGTTTGCATGTGGGGGTGGGAGGTAAAACCACAAGGGAGGGCAGTGACCCCACAGGTGGTCAACCAGTATGGCAGCCACCTTTTTGACATGGGCCTAGGGGGAGAGAGCAGCATGACTGTGCAGCTAGCTGGCCACATGGTTCTCCCAACAGCCACTGACAGTACAGCTCTGTGTCCCAGGGCCAGAGGGGCTCCCCAAGTGTTTAGCAGTCAGCCGATTGTTAGAGGGGGAAGCGATACACTCTCCTATCTATCCTTTCCAACTAGTTCTGAGCTCCTTAAGGGTTGACCTCAGCTAAACTCTAACTGTTTTCCTTTTCTGTATATGCCCTAGCCCTCTCACAAGCCATAAAATCTTCTTAAACAATTTGTGACTATCCTCCAAAACAGAGGTGTGAGTTAGACTCCCTTGTAAACTGACTGTTCTTTTTGGGTTTAGATCTTAGTCTGTGGGGTCCTAAAACTGCGTGAGACTTTCAAATAGCTAAATTTCATGTTGGAAATACCACCTCTTCTGTGAAAGAAAGTGTATCTATTTGTAAAAAAAAAAGAGAAAAAGTTTTTAACTTACCCAGAGTACAAAGACATTCATGAGATGGTCTATCTGTGTCCGTTTAAAGGTGTACTTTCCACTGTTCTGCATTAATTTGGTGTCTGGCCCTAAGTAACACAGGAAGACATCAGATCATATAATCAATATATTCAGAGGCTTGGAATTGTTTGAAATATAACTTTATGATCATCTAATCTAATCTTTTATCCAAATTCCAGGGGATAAGCCCTGGAGAAAGGCTCACGGTTTCTGGAAAATATGTTTCTGAGGACATGTTTCCCAACTATTTCTGTAAAGTGCATTCATGCGGACTTCTATCTTTGCAGCACCTCAGAGAATCTCAACTTTTATAGGTGACTTAAATCAGAAGAGTAGTCCCAAACTTCTCTCTTATCACTGTCTAGTTTATTTAGTGTAGAGAGGAATTTTTCTGATAAAGAGAGCTCCACCTTCTTTTGAGGAACCCCACTGTTGGACCTGGCTATATTTAAAGTTTCTAATGAAGTGGGCAAAAGGAAAAGGCAATGGCAGTGATTTCTTCTGAGGTGGAAGCTGGAGAGCTGAGATTCCTCTGGGGCTGAGAGACAAACTCTGCGTTTCTTCATGACAGGGCAGATAGCTAGCAGAAGTAAGGAATTTTTAAAGGCCAACATGACTAGAGTTGGAAATTACTAACCACAGACATGGCTATAGAGAAAATATAAGAGGTTCAGAAGAAACTGTAAGTAGTAGCTTCCCTGGCCTTTTACCACCTGACTGTTATTCTTACATGTGGTCTAATGAATTTCATCAATGTTTATACATAGGGGAGCTGGAACTTCCCAGATATGCTAGCAAACATTGGGAACGCACAGCGTAAACTATGCCATTCTTTCTTCATAAGCATTCTTTGAAGGGCTTAAAGTCATGAGATGTTTGGCACAGACCCTGGAAGGTACAGGTACCCTTTTTTATTTTTTGAGTTGGATTCTCACTCTGTCGCCCAGGCTGGAGTGCAGTGGCACACTCATGGCCATCCCAACGTTGACCTGCTGGGCTCAGGTAATCCTTCCATCTCAGTCTTCCAAGTAGCCGGAACTACAGGCGCACGCTACCATGTCTGGCTAATTTTTTGATTTATTGTAGAGATGAAGTCTCATGAAGTTGCCCAGTCAGGTCTCAAACCTGTGGGCTCAGGCAGTCCTCTCACCTCAGCCTCCCAAAGTGCTGGGATTACAGGCTTGAGTCATGTTGCCCAGCCTGATACCTTATCTTCTAAGGGTCTTTAGAAAGACTGACCTTATCCCAGGTTTCAAGAAGAAGGTGGAGATCATGGTAGAATTTGAGCATCGTATAGCAGAAACAGCAACTCAGTTCTGCACTGAATACCTCAAGGTGCTCTTAGGGGCAACAGTTCTCTGCTTAGAGCTTTCCAAAGCTACTCACTACCATGTAACCAACCAAGGAAAACAACTAAATTTGTGCTGACTGGCAATCTCATTGCTATTGCTTTAGAAAAAAAATCTTTGGCTGATAAATGAGCTTTTTATGAGTGGCAACTGTGTGTGAGTAGTACAGTGAAGAAAATAAGTTTACTTTAAATCTTTTGGTTTGGGGAACTAGGGAGTCTAGAAGCTCCCTCCCTAGATCAAGGACCAATGAAGGAAACTCCACCAGGGCCTCCCTGGACTCTTAAGCATCTACCTAGGGCTTTGGTCCCATTATTTGGTCCCACTTATTATTTTGGTCCCATTATTTGGTCCCATCTACCTAGGGCTTTGGTCCCATTATTTAGTCCACTTATTATTTTGGTCCCATTATTTGATCCCATCTATCTAGGGCTTTGGTCCCATTATTTGGTCCCGCTTACTCCATGTAAGTAAGGAGTCTAGGAGCCTCATGTCTAGGAGTGGATTCTTGAAAAGGGGAGATCTGGGAATCTGGTTGAGCAGTATTCACTGTGGTAAATCATACGTGATGTTTCCTACTATGGTTGTCGCTGAAGGCATAGGGTAGCACAGAGGTTTCCTCCATTCTCCTGAACCACATCATAATTCAAGAAAATTCCTTGTTAAATATAATGAATTGAGGTTTCTAAATGACATCTCAAGAGGGATCACTACTAATGATCCATATGTAACTATTCTCTGGCATAGACTCGTCACATTATATTTTATAGTTTTGTCTATAATGAGCACTGTATCTAGTCTCTCCTCATGAGATTAATCCACATGTGTGCATGCTAATTTTATTGTACTTTCTCTGTATATACCTTCTTCTGTGCCCAGATCTAGCTGGAGAGACTCATGAGTGCCCTGTGGTCTTGAAACATAAAACCTTTCCCTGACAAAAGTAGAGCTGATATGTTGGAAGTGCATTGCTTGAAAAAGTCATTTGTTTTTCTAAGAAACAAGTTTTTTCTCCCTTCCTCCCTCCCACCTCCCTCCCTACCTATCTATCTCAAAACCATAGTGTTCTTGAAATATATATATATATTAGTCTCATATCCACATCCTGAAAACAAAGTACCCATAACTTTGCCAGGAATCCAGCAGCCTGGGGTCTGGTTGTGGCTGGAGGGAAACATACCAGTATAAACCACCAAGCCATAGCACCAATCTGTATTCCTGATGACACAGCCTCGGAATGGCAACTTGTCTTGGTTCAGGAAGTATCTTTTCTTCTTATAGTTCAGTATTCCTGTGAATTTGTCCAGTTTATTATTGGGAGGCTCACACCTCACTTCTCCTACAGAAAAATGAAGGAGTAAGAGTCCTGGCTTTATAATCTCAGGCTTTTCCTAACAGGATGGATGGAAGCTTAACAGAAAGGAGCAAAATTTCTTTTTCAAAATACATACATAATTTTTTTCCTATCTCCTCTAAACTGCTGCCCATTTCTCACCGGCTCCGTTCAGAAAGGCAGACAAAGGTTTCTGGACACCAAAGAAGAATAATTCTGTATATGACATGAATCATCCAGAGAGAGGGAAAAAAAACAACATGATAACTTACCACTCCAGCAGTGCCAGATCAAATGAGCTCTGAATCCGAACAAACTAAGAAACTACTTAACTTAAAGTAAACCTAATATTTTTTTCAAAATGAAAATAAAACTCGACTTTTTCCTGATTAGTAAATAGGCCCTTTGCAAATATTTATGCAATACTAAAAAGATAAAGAAGAAAGTAAAACTTATCCACTGACTTGAGAAAAGTGTTAATAACCTTTTGAAGTACATCCTTTCAAGTTTTTTCTATATATATGTACTCATAAACATAGATATGTTTCTGAAAACAGGTTTACATTACATATACTATGCAGTCTTTCGTACTTTGTGTTTTCTTTTAGTTTTTATTTGTTCCATGTCAATAAATATCAACTTCCATATTGTTTATAGTAAGTTGTATAGAAATCACTGTATGAATGTGCCACACTTTTTTTTTTGAGTTGGAGTCTTACTCTGTCACCCAGGCTAGAGTGCAGTGGCATTCTCATGGCTACTGAAGCCTTGACTTGTGGGCTCAAGCGATCCTTCTGCCTCAGTCTTCCTGTAGCTGGAACTACAGGTATGCACAACCATTTTGGGCTAGTTTTTTTTTTTTTTTATTTATTGTCGACACGAGGTCTCACCAATATTCCCAGGCTGGTCTTGAACCCCTAGGTACAGGCAGTCCTCCCACCTCTGCCTCCCAAAGTGTTGGAATTACAGGTGAGAGCCACTGCACCTTGCCTGTATGTACCATAGTTTATTTAACCAGTCCTCTACTGATGAAAATTTGATTTGGGCAAGCAAATCTATTTCCTAACTCACCATCAAAGGCAGAGAGCAGCTCCAGGTTATCTTTCATTTCACTGGTAGTTTTGATGGCCTGCTTCACTTTCAGGTTGGTTTCACTGGAGTAAAGGACACAGGGTCACCAGACTACAGGACATATACACAAGAACTATACGGGTCCAGTTTCTCTTACTTCTTCATGGAGTTTTAAAAAACAGATGTTGCCAGTAGGGCTTGGGATATAGGTTTGAGCCCCAAGAGTCATTCCCACTGTTCCTGTCTCTCGTGTGCAGTACTGAGGTGAGATGGCTCTTCAAAGAAGCTGCATGTCAGTCCACTGACTCTTCCATCTTTCCCTTCATTCCCTGCAACACACTGCCACTACTTATCAACCCATGATATCTAGCTGGTCAGGTGCTCTAGAGAAGCTGAAGAGACATCGCAAAACAACCTGGAGGTTTTGCTCCCTTCAAGAATAAGGAGCGGGCCCTGGTAAGAACCTACGTAGACCTCCAAGGAAATATACTCTGCAACCCTCCCAAGTATTCATTAAGCCCACAAAGGGATCACAATTAATTGTTTTCTGGAATGCACAGAGACATAAGCAAAAATGGAGGCCACATTAAAAAAAAAACAAAAACAAAAACAAACTGGCACCAAGAGAAATAGTTGTAAGAATGCAGATTGATACAAAATTCTACAGGACAAGCTTTTTGCAGATGGCCCTATCCTCCTAAGACCTTAATTTTGCGTGCTAATGAATTTCTAATTTAAATCCTTTATAGAACATGGTGTTTTATCAGTAAGTAATTTTTTCCATATTCAAATTGCTCCTGTGGAAACTTTGAAACTCTATTCTGGGAAACTACAGTTCTGTTAACCTCTTTCCTGCCACTCAGCATTATAGAATACTATTAGAGTGTTTCCAGTTTAGAGATGGAGAACATGGAATTTATTTGCCCATATTCTGTTCCCAGGGAGTGCTCAACTATTGCTGTCAAGAGCTCAGCCTTAGACTTGGGGGTCCCAAGGATTCGGCATTCTTTCTTCTCTCATCTGGATATTTCGAGGTTCTCTGGCTCATATACTTACTACCACTTCCATCTGAGAATAAATTAATTCCCTGCATCATGCTTTCCCTCACTGAGAGACCAATCTTAAAGCTGGCTAAACCGTCTTAATGGAGTATCAGGAGGAAACACTTACCCATCCTGCTGTCTCTATGTATGTCAGACCGTATGGCTCACTGCTAGAGAGTAATAGCATATCTGCCTGTTAACAGAAAAGTCAGAGAAAACAAGGAAAACAGGAAGGCAGGCTCTTAACATCAGTGTGACAAAAACAGTCACCTTAGGAACAGATGTGCACCCCAAGAATTTTACAGACACTGTTTACTTTGTCTAGAATCTATCACTGCTACCATACATCCTCTCCCAAAACAACTTGTAGCTGTGGTAAGAGATGGACAAGAGCAAGCTTTTACTGCAGGAGCTGCCAATCTCTAATGGAAAGTGAGGCAGACAAGGTTACCAAAAGAAGTGGGAGCAGAAGTGCTGTAAGAGTCCTTGGAACCCACGCAATTCAAAATAGAAAAGCTACAATCAAAAGAGGTCCTCACCATGACAGGCTGATTATTTTGTAGTTTTATTATATCTCCTACTTGGACATTCATCCACTTGTCCTCCTCCATCCTGTAAGAAAATGACCTTTAAATGTCTGCTGAGAACTTTCCAAAGCTCTGTATGGACAACCAAGAACCACACCACTCCCAAAAGGCTAAGAGAAGTGAAGACAAGGCTCAGGAGGACCAAACTGGTATGTGATGCAACCTTGCTGCAATCAAGAATGGGGCCTGTTTCTCTTGATTTCAGGCTATAAGGATTTCCTAAAACCCGGTAAAAGTATATATAGGCATACATACACATAATTATTTCAGTAGAATAGTTCAAATAGTAAGGAAGTAGGTAAAAAGAAAAATTAGTCTCCTTTGTCCCCAGGCTTTTGTTTTACTCTCCAAAGGTAGCAACTGCTAGTAATTTTAAAAATTTCTTTCAAGAAAATATCAATCCTTATAATCACATATAACACATACATTTAAGAGTTACATACTAGATACATAATTTTCTGCACTTTGCATTTTCACTTAATAATTTATCTTGGAGAGCACTTATAGAAGAGGTGACTCATTCTTTTTGATAGCTAAAATGTATTCTATCTGTATAGCTATACCATTTTTATTTGTTTATGTTAAAATAAGATTCCCACTGACCCCACAAGTCCCCACTTCCCATAGAAGGCAGCCTGGCAGCATGAGCAGATTCCACAATAATACTGGCTTTCTACTCTCTTCTTTTTTTGTACCTCAATTTCCCCAACTGCATAGGGGAATAAATCCTTCATCTCTTGAGAAACGACTAAGGAGGATGTACATGTTGCCTCAAGCATTTTGGAAACATGAGCAATGCCCTTGCGACAATTCTATTATGCCAACCACCCAAAGACCTGGGGGGGGGCATGCCTAGAGGCCACTGTTTGTTTGGCCTTTGAATGCAGTCCTGTTATCTGTAGGGCATGACAAACATCACCACTTTGTCAGATACACAAAAGCATGGGTATTCCCAGAACACCTGTTCTGAGAAGACAGCTGCCTGGAGAAGGGTCACATTTCTTTCACTCACTGAAGAAATTAGCTCTTTCTTTTAGAGAATTTTCTGATAGTGCTGAAGAGTAGTAGCTACAAGCCTTGGAAAAAGACATCTGAGTATTTATTTTGTCTTGATACAACGTTCACTTTTAGTAGTTCTCTAATATTCTATCCGCCGTGATCTTCACCAGTAAAACATGAGAGAAAGAAGGGCTATAACATTTGGGATTCTCCTAGGGGTTTAAAAACTCATATTTTATTACATAAGGAACTGCCAAACCATTACTAATTTGCTCCTGGACATTTAAAAAACCCATGTGTCCCAGATTTGGGAGGAGGGGAGACATTTCCTACAGATTTAAAATATTCAATCCTGTTGGGCCATAAGTACATTTTTCATTTCCAGGCATTGCATCCAAACTTTTGGTTTAGAAAATATGGTCAGAGAGCTAGAGAAGGCAAAGCTTTGACCTCAGGGGGACCATTCATATTATATTCTCTGTTTTATGTGAATGATACATCCTGGAGTTCTTTCTGTTTAAAGTATATACTGGCACTTTTTGTTTAATTTTTATTTTATTTTTTAATTTTAGAATCATGGGGGCACACATGAGGATTTGTTACATAAGAATATTGCTCCAAGATGAGGTTTGGGCTTCTGATGAGGCTGTTCCCATCCCAGTAGCGGGTGTGGTACCCAATGGGTGGTTTTGTCAACCTTATCGCCCCCTCCTTTAGCAGTGCCTGGTGTTTGTTACTCCCACCCTTGTGCTTGCATGTGCCCAGAACACACTGGTACTTTTTATGCTATAAATATTTACAAATGCTCGATAAAATAACATGAACATTCTTTCAAAAGCAAGGCTGTACTTGCCATAAAGTAAGGAACCAGGAAAAAAGAGCATAATAACATCCAAAACAGTAAGCACATTCTGAAGCTGTTCTTACCCTGGGTGGTGGAGGGGATTGCTAGTTTTAATAATCTAATAACTTGAGTTTCAATTTCTCCCACCAGAGAGACAAGAGATAAAGCCTTATGATCTTGAGAGGCAGTGAGTTGGAACTAATAACCTCATTTAAAGCCAGGACCCTTGGAGGGCAACACCATTCGTGAAAAAGTGATTAAAAAAAAAAAAAAAATCAACCCACTGGCAAGAAAGTTTGTCTATCTTAGTCTGGAGGGTTGGGGCTCAGTGAATGGATGACTTGCTGAGAATTTATACTGCATATGGTGTAGGGGTCAAATTTATACTTTCACCAAATTAGGTCTCAGCAGGTGATACCCTTGAGTCACCTGGCAGAAGCAAACACAAACCCTATAGCCACTGGGTGTTCTGTAAGGCCACCAAGATAAAGGTTGGACCTCAATCTTGAACTCCTTCAGGTTTGCACTTTCTTGCAATCATGCTTCTGCTGACACTGGTCACTTTTCCTTTCACACAACCTCTACTTGTTGAATTCTCTCTGTCCCGAAGGCCTAGTACAAATACCACCTCTTCCAGAAAATCTTCCTTCATTCCTTTATCAGCTGTGATTGCTCATTTTTATTAATTTCAATAATAATTTTTTCTACCTCTTAGGTTAGTCTTCATATTTGCCTTACTTGCCTGCCTCCTCCCATTCCTGCCAAAACTTTGGATAGCTATGACCAAACACCACTGCAATGGGATCAGTACCAATATTCTCTTTGGACTGTTAACAGAAAAGATAGCCTGACTAAGGGCTATAGCAGAATGGCCAATAAGCCATGTCACAATCCATTAATGTTCTAAAAACAGATGTTTCCATGCTGAGCACCACACAAATAATAATGATTTCCATATTAATATCATGTTATCATATATTAACTGCTTTAACATACATTACTTCCTTTTTATTTTCACAGGCATTCTCTAAGGTAGAGAATATTATTTCTAGTTTATAGATAAGAAAAACGATGCCCAGAGACACCTGAGATAATGTAGATAAGTTCAGGGCATGCTAGATCTAGAAACAAATTCTTCCTGCATCTGAGGTTCTTTTCACTATCCTGAACTAACTTCCCAAAGCACCCACCACACCAAGCTTTTGCAAGGCCAACCAGAAGAACTTACCTGCCATTTACCAGCAGCAGAACAGACTGGTTGTTGACTTGGTCATCATTTTGGTGCCTTTTCTAAAATCACACCAAAAACTGTTTAGGAAATAGACCCATAGCAAACTGCATATAGAAAGTTAATGTTTTGAAGCTGGGCTCGGTGGCTCAGCCTGTAATCCCGTGCCTTTGGGAGGCTGAGGTGAGTGGATTACCTGAGCCCGCGGGTTCGAGACCCGCCTAGGTAGCGAGACCTCATCTCTACAATAAATCAAAAAATCAGCGGGGCGTGGTAGCGCGCACCTGTAGTTTCAGCTACTTGGAAGGCTGAGGCGGAATGATCGCCAGAGCCCAGCAGGTTGAGGCTGCAGTGGCCGGGAGCGGCCACTGCACTCCAGTCTGGGCGACAGAGTGAGACTCCAACTGAAAAAAAAAAAAAAAAAGATATTAATGTTTTGAAATATTACCCAATGTAGTTTCTTTCTTTGTACTTCTTCTTCTCTACCCTGAAGCTCTTCTATCATTAAAACCAAGTCAAGAGGCTGATTGTCTCAGAGAAGCTGGGAAGGGAGGTTAGAAAAAGAATCCAGGAAGAAAGAGACAAAATCTTGGTTTAAAATGTCAAAAGCCTGGGGGAATGAGACAAAACAACTACGTCAGAAGCCATAGAGGACACAATACAAAATGATGGGCAGGACCACAGCGTCCCACACACCTTGGTAAGTGCAGAGAAAGCTACATATTCTCAAGCATACTTCTACCCCTATCCCCAGCCGTGATCAACATGTAGAAGTTTCTACAGCAGATGCAGTGAGGAAAGAGGTCAAAAAAATAAAGACCAAGTAGAAGGAGAACAAATACATGGTGTGTGCCGCCAAGTCTCATATAAATCTCCTCTTTCCAGTTGACATTACTTCCTGAGAAAAGGGTAGGCCTGGGAAGGAGGCAGAGAAAATCCTGAATTTGTCAGAACTCAGAATTGTCCAAATATTTATCCTAAAGAGACTGAGTTAAAAACTAGAAGTAACTGGGTTACCCTGAATTGGCAAGTTCATTTTTGATTCTCATTGGAAAGAATTGGGGTGGGGGTTTGTGTGTGTGTGGGGGGGGTGTTGTGATCTAAAATGAGTTCAGTTACAGAGAAATAAAGTTCTTTTTTTTTTTTCACATATGAGTTGTGACTGAAATTTAATCCAGGACATGTGCTAATCTTGGTTTAAAGAGTTACAGAGAAGCCGGGCTCGGTGGCTCAGCCTGTAATCCCACATCTTTGGGAGGCTGAGGTGAGTGGATTGCCTGAGCCCGTGGGTTTGAGACCCGCCTGGGCAACTTGGCAAGACCTCATCTCTACAATAAATAAAAATTAGCCATACATGGTAGCGTGCACCTGTAGTTCCAGCTACTTGGAAGGCTGAGGCGGAAGGATCGCGGAGCCCAGCAGGTCGAGGCTGTGGTGGCCGGGAGCGCCCACTGCACTCTAGTTGGGTGACAGAGTGAGACTCCAACTAAATAAAAAAAAGAGTTACAGAGTTAATATGCTGGGGAAACATGGTGCTCTCGAACTTTGGTTTAAAAATCTATTCTGGTAAAATCAGAAGGACTCTCTTAGGGGAAATGCAAGCAGGTCAAATCCCACCAGTACGCATGGTACTGGGTCCTCACCCTCAGGCCTGCTGTAAGAAGCCAAGAGGATGCCACACAGCACTCTTTCCAAGTTTCTCTTTCCAAGACCAGGAAAAGAGTCAGTCTCTGCTTATGTCACGAGGCTTTCTAAAACCAGAGGGTTCCCAGCTGAGCATACCTAATAGATTGAAAGTTGGAAAAGGAAATAGAAAGATTGAAGAGAAGAAAGAGAATGTAAAAAGAGAAGAAAGAGGAAGATCAAGAAAAAGAGGGAGCAGAGACAGAGGGAAGAAGGGAAAAGGAATATAAAAAGGAAGAAAGGGGAACAGAGGAAGAAGAATGAGAGCAAAGCCAGAGAAAGCTGAGGGGACTAAAGGAAGAGTGGGTTATTAAAGATGGGAGCGCTGGGTGCCGTGGCTCAAGCCTGTAATCCCAGCACTTTGGGAGGCCAAGGTGAGGAGATTACCTGAGCCCATGGGTTCGAGAACAGCCTGGGCAACTTGGCAAGACCTCATCTCTATAATAATCAAAAAATTAAGCCAGGCTCGGTGGCTCAGCCTGTAATCCCGCGCCTTTGGGAGGCTGAGTGAGTGATTGCCTGAGCCTGCGGGTTCGAGACCTGCCTGGGCAGGCGAGACCTCATCTCTACAATAAATCAAAAAT